CCGTTTTTTTCCCCCCCCCCCCCCCCCCCCCCCACAGAGCGGCTGGGCCATTATCCAAACAGCAGCTCCTTGCTCCCAGAGCATGCACCGAAGCATGTCTTCTGTCATGCATTTGCAGAGCCTGGCACCGGTCAACATCCCCAAAGCATGTGGTGATTTTTTGGGGGCAGTCTCCCAAACGGGGGAGGTGCAGGGGAGCTGAATTGCAAGAGGAGAGCAACTCCTTGGGGATGTTTACAGGGCTGAACTGGTTTATCGGGCTCTGGATCTGTGAGAAGACTTTTTTCTGCCAGTGGAAGGACGACGTTAGTGAATCAGCGATCTAGCCAAGACCCCGCCTCGGTGGGCCAAAAAAGTGAGGAGCCCCACCTCCTGTTCACTCTGCTGAGTTAGCTTAGCACCGGTGTCACATACCCCTCCCCTCCGCTCAAGATGTACCGTACCACATTTGAAGCTGTGGCAGCTGGCGGTGTTTTAACCCGGTGAGGGACTGTTTTCAAAGCCATCTGCCTACACAGCTGCTGCTTCCCTGCCCACTGGAGCGATGCGCGAGAGGCGCTCACAGAACACCTCCAGGGGAAGCGGGTCATGATTATTCGACTGCCAGGGGTCAGAGAACAAGTCGCAGGGCAAGGGAAGGTGCGCTGCACCATCCCGTTCACAAAGCCGTGTATAAGGAGGCCCCTGCAGGAGTCGTGCTGGTGCCCGTTGAGGCTTCCTGGCTGGGAGCCCGCTCAGGAGACTCAAACACTTCCCACTGCGGCTTCTCCCAAAGCAGCCTGAGCACTGACGTTCAGTTGCCTCCCTCTCTCTTCTCATGCGGGGCCACGTACATGCACAGTGCTGTGTAAATAATAATGCCACTGAATTGCTAAACCATTGATCCCTGGGCCAGTGTGCAACCTTAATTTCTCCAGCAGACAGGTCCCATTGACCTCTCTCGGCCCATGATTGAATCCGTGTGTTCCTTTCCCGGCTCTGATTAGGTGAAATACGGGTAGAAAGAAGCCAGTGAGGGAGTGTGTCTCACTGTAGGAGACCAGACCAGTTTTCCCTTTCATCACTGCTCATTTATTTGGATTAGAGTCAGCTCTCTCCTGAATCCTTTGTTCACTGTTTGTTATTCCACATGCACCAAGCACTGCGCGTTCATCTTTATTAGCTCTAATTGCTTCCCCATTCTAATGGGATCTTGCTATTCATGTACGGCTGAAAGGAAATGTATTCATTAAAATAATTCTCCTCCTAACTGCTGCTTAGAACTGCTGCTGTTAGTGAGGCTTTCCATGACTGTCTCTCCGTAGCGTCCACTGGGGACTCCTATTAAGGCTGCTAGTTGAAAGCACTGTGTAGGCAATGAACTTCATTGCCGTGGTCTCCAGACTCGGAAGAGAGCGCATTCGGTGAAGATTCCATTTCAAATGCAAAGTCGAACAGCCATTGATTGTTGGAGGGACCTAGAAAACAACTCTCCTGCCCTCTTTTACTTACAAAATCATATTTTTTTAAAAAAATATGATTGACGGTACCTTTGGATGAGGTCAATTCCACCGGCAACTCTGAATGTCCCCCGTGGCAGCATGGCTGGTTGCTTTGTCTTCTGGTTGTGGACGTTCCTAGGCAGTAGGTTCTTCCCCTGCAGGGAAGAAATCAAATGGAAAGTAAGCAGAACAGGGGACTGCAGCGAGAGGTAAAAATCTAATATTAGAATTAGTAATAAAGCTTAAAAAAAAAGAAAACAAGACATCCCTGCATCAATATCTTCTCCATTACTCAAACCATCGGGCTTGTCTTCACTAGGCTGGGGGATCGATGCTACAGCGATCGACCCACCAACCGATTTATCATGTCTACTTAGACACGACAAATCGATCTCAGAGCGCTCCCCTGTGAACGCCGGTACTCCACCAGGATGAGAAGAGTAGCTGGCGTCGATGGGAGATCAGCCCTCATGGCCCTTACTGTACATAAGATGCTGAGGTAAATACGTCGACTTCAGATACACTAGTTGCGTGAGCTGAAGTCACATAGATTAAATTGATAGCAGCAGTTAGTGTAGACACGGCCTATCGTCTTACAACGTATTTCATCCCTGTACTGCTAGTTATAAATCTTTAAAATAACTCTCTCCTTTCCTTGTTGCTGCTTACATATGCAGGGGTGCAACTTCAGATTTTGGGAGGGAGGGAGCCAACTGGTGCATGCCGTGATGGGTGCAAGAAGAGAGTGAAAGCATGGGGGGGCAGACCAAGGCTTCTGCAGTATTACTGAGCATACCCAGTATAAGCCAAGCACCAAATGGCAGGGGTGGGGTGGAGTGACACGCGCACACACAAAATCATCTCTATCCAGGGGCTACTAAGGCGCTGGAAAACTCTACTTTTTTGGCAGACAACTTAGCCATGATAGGAGCACTGTATTGAATTGCTATATAAAGGAAAGAAGATTAAATAAATATTAGACCCATGTCGATCTAACACTAGCATATTCTGACATTTTGTGGCATGTCACTTAAGGGGTCACTGGTTAGCCTTAAAATTGTAATGTCTATTCTTACTTTGTTACTAACTCTGTGGAGAGATCGACCGACCCTATCAGGACTCCTGGCCTCTAATTCAGCTCTGGAAGGAGCGTGAGGGGAGGGGAGTTAGTGGGTTACAGCAAAGGGCAGATATTTCAGCTCTATGTAAGAACATCAGAATGGTCATACTAGGTCAGACCAACTGTCCTTCTAGCCCTGTATCCCTGTCTTCCAACAGTGGCCAATGCCAGGTGCTTCAGAAAGAATAAACAGAAGAGGCTATCATCATGATCCATCCCTTGTCGCCTCTGTTTGTTTGTTTTAAATCTGCTGCCTATAAATTGTATTGGGTCATCTTCTTGTGTTATGTTAGTGAAGGAATGAATAACATTTCCTTATTCTATTTTTCCACACCTCCAACATATCCCCCCATGCTTTAGTCATTTATTTTCCAAGCTGAAAAAACCTCTCCTCTATTGAAGCTGTTCTTTATACCCCTAATGATTTCTGTTGCCCTTTCTGTACTTTTTCGAAGTCCAATATCTTTTTTAGATGGGGTGACCAGATCTGCATACAGCATTCAAGATGTGGGCATACAATATAGAGGCAATATGGTATTTTGTCTTATCTGTTCCTTTCCTAATGATTCCTAATATTCTGTTAGCTTTTTAGTTTTTAGACTGCACCGAACATGGAGCAGATGTTTTCAGGAACAATCCACAAGGATTCCAAGATCTCTTTCTTGAGTGGTAACAGCTATTTTAGACTCATTTGTGCATCTATAGTTAGGATTCATTTCCCCCATATGTATTACTTTGCACTTATCAGCACTGAAGTACATCTGTCCTTGTGTTGCCCGATCACACCGTTTTGTGCGGTCCCTTTGTAACGCTTTGCAGTCAGTTTTGGATTAATCCCTGTTCACCCCATTTTCAAGAACATTTCTGAGATGTTTGACAGCAGTGATCCAAAGGCAGCTCTTCCCCCTATCTTTTAAGTGGAGTATCTGGCAATGTTTTCATGATGATCTAATGATCCTTCAATTATCTGAATGCCCAGCCTTTGGTTATTCTTAATCACCTTGCTTCCCTCTTTTTATAACAAACTCCCTACCGCAAAGGTCCAAGCAGCTCAAATTCTGTTGCATTTAAGAACTGCCTCTGGAGTTAGGACATGGGCTTTAAGCAGACCTCAAGTATGAAATCCAGGGATCCAAACTCAGGAGGGGAGGGTAGCTACCCGTCCATAAGTGGCGCCCCTGTACATATATAAGCAGGACCTGAATGAGCTCTCCCCTGATAGCCAGCTAGGAGCGTGTGAGACTTCAGGAACAAATTGTATTTACATGGACACGCCTACTCTGCTTACACAGCCAACAGCTAGACCAGTCTTGCTCAAAGTGATCAACTTCGGCTGGTGTTGGGTTACAAATTCCTTTAGTACTGAATGCAAGGGGAGTTACCCATGTTCCTGTCTTTATTGTCCGAATAAAGAAGAGCAGAACTGTGCTTACCTGTTCCAAATGAGGGGGCTCAGCTGAAAGGACCTCACGACGCCTGGGGCTTGAATGCCAGACCCCTGTGAAAGTAAGAGAGATAGGAATGGGTATTCTGGCCCGTACGTGTGGCCTTTCCCCAGTCTGGTCTAACCAGTTACCCCCACAGTTCAGACAGAGCTACACAGGCTTCAGGAGGAGCCTGCTGTTAAATTAAGCACTCAGGGGCTATGTCTACACTGGCGGCTCCTTGCGCAACATCTTGCACAAGTATTCTTGCACAAGAGCTCTTGCACAAGAGAGCATCCTTGCAGCCAGAAGCACAGCGCAAGAATGCTGAGTCCACGCTGGCGGGATGCCCTTGCACAAGAACGTGGACCTGGAACCACTTCGGTCATGGCAAGAGGTCACCCGCGGTGTCCGTGGACTTACGCCACAACCCCACTGGGAAATGTGCTTAAAGGGACCCCCGGAAGCCGTTTCCCTGCTGCTGTGAGCTTAGGCACCTCTTGGTGGGATTGAGAGCCACAGCCGCACCACCGGGAGCTTGCACCGCAATGCCTAGTGCACCACAGCCCCTGGCTACTGGTCCTGGGCACCCTCACCCTGCTATTCTAGGCATGACCTCGGAGGAGGACCCCGTCCACCAGTGTCCCCTCACAGCCATAATCAGTGGGGACCACGCTGCTCAAGCGGGAGACTGGGCAGCACCTGCAGGTCCTTGCCATCAATGCCGCAGCTGTGCTCGGGCACCCCCACCCCACCACTGACAGGTGCCTGTGGAGGCACAACCCCAGTGCAGACTGGTGGGAGCACCTGGTGCTGGGACAATGGGACGACCAGCCCTGGGTGCAGAACTTCTGGATGCGCAGGGGGACCTTCCACGAGCTCTGCACCTGGCTCGTCCCTGCGCTCTGGAGGCAGGACGCCCGTCTGCGCCCCACCATCCCCATGAACAAGAGGGTTGCGAATGCCCTCTGGAAATTGGCCACCCCGGACAGTTACTGCTCCGAGGGGAACCAGTTCGGGGTGGGCAAGTCCACTGTTGGCATGGTCGGGGAGGGATGGGGCCAGGCCAGGGGGATGGGCTGTGGGGATGGGGGGGGGAAGCCCCACACCCAGCAGAGTCATGCCATCCCTCCCTCAAGTAGCCCCGCCAGCAGGGGGTGGGGAACCCCCACAAGACAGGGTCCTGGAATACATGGGGGGAGGGGACATCAGAGGGGGGCGGGCACGCCGCCAGGGCCCCTGTACCCACCGTGTCTCATTCTGTGCATCCCCTGTGCTCCCCTGCAAGTCGTCCGTGCCATTCAATGACGTCCTGCTCCAGAGGGTCATCCGCCCCTGTGAGCTGGATGCCACCCTTGCTGGCTTCGCGGCCCTGGGATTCCTGAATTGCAGGGGAGCCGTAGATGGGACCCATGTCTCCATCCAGGCACTGGAATACTGGGCAGCCCAGTTCATCAACCACAAAGGCTACTGCTCGGTGCTGCTCCAGGCCCTTGTGGACCACCAGGCTGGTTCTAAGACATTTATGTGGGGTGGTCCAGCCGAGCCCGAGATGTCCGCGTATTCTGGCACTCGGCCTGTGCCACAGGCTGAAGGTGGGCACCTACTTCCCCCAATGGGACCTCGTCGTCCAGGCCATTAGCATCCCAGTGTGCATCGTGGGCGACATGGCCTACCCTCTGATGGCCTGGCTCATGCGGCCGTACACGGGCTGACTGGACTGCAGCCAGGCCGCCTTTAACGCCCACCTGGACCGGGCCTGCAACCCCATGGAGTACGTCTTTGGGCGCCTGAAGGCACGCTTCTGCGGCATGCTGTGACCTCCACAACATAATCAAGGGGAAGGGGCAGGACTTCCTCCCGGGTTGGATGGCGGGCGAGGGCCAGGCCTACCAACAGCCTCGGACAGCTGCCACCCGGCAAGCAAACCGCGACGGGACGTGGATCCAGGAAGCCCTCCAGGTGCTGCTCGACCAGGCCCCACAGTAGGCTGCACCTAGGCCTCCAACCATGGGGCTCCCCCCGTGTCCCCACTTCCCGCTCCCATCACCAACCCTCCCCAACCCCACATCCCAATCAATAGCATGCACTTGGGTAACGTGACAGTTGTTTATTTACAAGGGGAAGAGGTGGGGCTGGGGGGAAGAGGGGGGACTCTCAACTGGGAGGAGGGATGAGGTCTCCAACCCTGGAGGGCCTCATGGTTGGGTGGTGCGGGGGTCCCAGTGCCTCTCGTGCCAGGTCAGGGCAGGCTGCATCAAGAGGTGTCGAGATTGGGGGGAGCCACAGGAAGGGGCCTGGGAATACCAGAGGGGAGGCGGAGGGAGGGCTGGGCACGCCAGGAGGGGCAGTGTGGGTGGGGCCACGCTGTGCTGTGGCTCAGGGCCCACGCGCTCTGCAGGGTGCACACATGGTCACAGTGCTCCAGATACTGGCCCCACACCCGCTCCCACCACACCTTGTCTGCGCGCATCTTGGTGGCGAGGGAGCGCTCCAGGCCCTCAATGGCGCAGACGTGGTGGAGGAGCAGGCAGTGGCGATCCTGGGAGCGCTGCGACGGGCCCTGGCTCCTCGGCACCGGCAGGATGGGGTTGCAGGGTCCCTCACTAGCAGGGGGTCCTGCTGCAGAGGAAGCAGATGACAGCAAGGCAGTCTGTGAGCCCTGCCCCATGGTGATCCCGGTGCCCCGTGCCCTCCTCCCCACACCACACGTGCCATGACGCCTGGGGATGGGTGTGACCGGCATGGGGGGAATTCCCCTGGGAGCAGCAGGGGAGCCTGAGGCAACCCGGGAGTCTCTGGGAGGCTGAGGATATAGGGGGAAGCCCATTGTGCCTTCCCCTGGGGCAGCTACCATGTCCCGTGGTGGCGTGTTGTATGCGGCACCCCTTGGGCTGTGCGGGGTCAGGCCTGCGTCCTTGGGGCTGGGCTGCTCCTGGCTGGACCCTCTCCTTCCCCCAGGGCTTGGTGTGCGTGACCCCCAGAGTCCCGGGCATGTGCTGGGGCTGCCTGCCGCATCCGTGTGCCACTCGGTCTGACTGCACGTGCTGCGTGCCGCTGTGTGGTGTGTGGCCACGCAGAGCCGTGTGCCGCTCCCTCCCCCCCCCCCCCAGGCTTGCCTGCTCCCTTTGCCCTTGCGTGTTGCAGCCGCGACACTCACCGGAGGATCCCTCATCAACCTCCGAGGCGGCCTGGGACACGACCTGGCTGCTGGGCCGGGCCAGTGGGGTCTGGCTGCTGTCCAACTCCTCCTCCTCCTCCGGTTCCAGCAGCCGGACTGGGGCGGCCACCGCCTAGTCAACCCGTGCCTGCAGGGCCTTGGCTCCCGTGTCCCCCAGGATGGTGTTCAGGTGGTGGTAGTGGGGGCAGGAGGCAGCTGCACTCTTCCCCCCACACTCGCTGGCCTGCACATACGCAAGCTGCAGGTCTTTGACCTTGGCCCAGGCCTGTTTGAGGGTCCGGGCTGGGTATCCTTTTGCGGCCAGTGCCTGGGCCATCCGGGTGAAGATGGCCACGTTTTGCCTCCTGGACATGGGATCTCGGAGGGTGCCCTCATGGCCCCATAGGTCCAGGAGGGCCTCAACCTCGGTAGTGCCTCAGCATGGGGCCCGCCGCTTGGTGCCCCTGTGGGGCTGCACGGTGCTCTGGGGTGGCTCCTGGGTGAGGCCTGCGGGACGTTGCGGTGGCTGGGCAGATGTCATGATTCCCTCTGGCTGCTACCCAGGCTACGTGCACCGTGTGGCTCTGCAGGGTGCCTGTGCCTTTAAGGGGGGGGAGGGCAAGTGAGTTGTGATTGTACAGAGTGTCAGAGAAGCCACCTGTGTTTTTTCCCCAGAGGCCAGTTCTCGCACAAGAAGCCCCTGCCGTGCATCCACACTGCCCTTTTGCACGAGAGGGCTTACACGTGTTAGAAAAGAGCGTAGCTCTTGCACAAGAAGCCCTGTCTTCCCCTGCCGTACTGTAAATCTTCTTGCACAAGAGCGGGCAGGCAGTGTGGATGCTCTGCGGGTCCTTGCACAAGAATGGCTGCTTTTGCACAAGAACCTGGCAGTGTAGACATAGCCAGGGAGAGCTGATCACTGGTGGCGGGGTCAGGGCCAAGAGCCAGGAATCACTAAGCGACAGAGGTCACCGCAGAGAGGCAGGTGTCAGTGGGAGGTGATGGACGGTCACACCATTGGCCAGCGGGAGACAACAAGGAGCAGCATCTCCTAGCCAAGCATCACCTCGTTAGCCCTTCCAGGGCTACGGCGGCTGTTCCCCTTTTCTCTCATTCACACGACTCCGAGCTGCAGCAAAAGGGCTTTCACTTCAGTTAAAACCCACAGGGATGGTTAATCTCTGCAACCCTTCCCTCCTTGATGTGTGCCACCCCCTGACTCACCTGTCCAGTTCGCCCTTTAGATTGTAAGCGCCCTGGGGCACAGATCTGACTGCTGGGATGCTCCTCGCAAGCCTGCAGGCTCTATAAGGTAGCAAGACTCCCCCAACCATTTCTGTGGTTCTGCCAGTGCTGGTGTCACCTCCCAGCTGGTGCAGATTCCAGGGGGCCTACTGGCAAGGCGGTTCGTGGCAGGAGAGCTGGTGCCTGTGCCTGGCAGGCTGCCGAGCTTCTCAAGTTAAACGTCTGCTTTGTCTCTGTCACAAGAGACCGTTAGCAGGGTGCACCTTCCCTTTCTATTAATATAATGGGTTAGGTAGAGTGTAAGGGAGACGGCCAGCCAGGCAGTCATGCTATCAACAATGAAAAGCCACATCGGGGAGCAGGGACATCACGTACCGTTGGCACCCACCATGTGAGAAGTACAGTGTCCAGCCTCCTGCATTTCCCCCCATTCTCTAGCTGCCCGTTGGGTCCTGAACTTTCTACTAGCTACCAAAAACAGATGCCCTGGCATGCATGCCTGGCATCCCAATCACCCACTTCCTAATAATCCTATTATCTAGCACAGGGATGGGGAATCTACAGCCTGAGGGCCAGATCTGCCCCCCAGCTTGCCTGGATCTGACCCCTGAGATGCAGGGCTCTCTCCCCCAGCATTGGGGAGCTGGTGTTTCAGCCTTGCAGCCCCCCTC